GTTTGGCCTTTGATCCGAAAGCAAAACATGGCTGCTACACAGAAGGACGAAAATGAAGGTTTTTATCTCTTTCCTTTCAGTTGTGTATTGGCTGCTCACAACTCTCTTATTTTTTTCTTTTATCTCTTTTCTTAGCACACAAAAGGAGACTCAAATGGGCCAAGATAAAATAACATTTTGGCACTCATGTGGCCAAATCTCTTACTTATGCCACAATTCACGAGACATCAACTTCTACATTGGCATCTCCACTACATACTCTGGCCTGCATAACATAGAGTTGCATTCCGTACACGTCCCCCACATGGAAGAAAGCATGTTTTAGATCTTATTCACATTGATGTTTGCTCTATGGAAGTATGGATGCTAAATCACATCTTGGTTCACAATATTTTGTGACTTTTATTGGTGATTTTTTTTTAGAAAAGTGTGGGAATTTGTGTTGAAAAATAAAGATTAGATACTTGACGCTTTCAAGGAGTTTCATGCCAGAGTTGAAAGAGAAAGTGGCAGGAAACTCAAGTGTGTCTTTCCTCAAGTGTGTCAGGTCAGTTTGGCGGTCCATTTGAGAACTACTGTAGGAGTCAAGGCATCAGGCTTTAGAAAAGAGTTCCAAAGATACCTCAACTTACACTATGTTTGATTCAAGGAATTTGAAAGGGAAAAGAAAAAAAATGAAGTGAAAAACTATTTTTCTTGTTTGGTTAGAGGGGAAAAGAAAGGAAAAGTGGAAGGAACAGAAAATGAGGAGGCAAAATGTACCAAGTGAAGGGAAAATCAAATTCCTTCCATTTTGGAAAAAACCATTTTCTTTTCTTTTCCTTCCAAAATCCTTGAGCCAAACATAATGTTAATGGAGTTGCAGAAAGAATGAAAAGAACAATTGAAGAGAGAATCAGATGCATGCTATCTCATGCTAAGTTGCCAAAGTCCTTTTGGGCAGAGGCAATGTTCACTGATGTGTACTTGATAAACCTTTCCCCTTTGTTCCTCTTGAAGGTGATGTTCCTCAAAGAGTTTGGTCCGGGAAAAATGTTTCCTATAAGCATTTGAGTCTTTGGTTGCAGAGCATTTGTTCATATTCCTAGAGATGGGAGATCGAAGCTTGATAAGAAGACCAAAGAGTGCATATTTTTGAGATATTTATAGGATGAGTTTGGGCACATGCTATGGGATCCATGTCATTCGAATGGGGTCAGAAGCAGAGATGTGTTTTTCTTTGAAGATCAGACCATTATAGATTGTGAGAAGCAGACAAATCCATCCTTCTCCATGCATCACAGGTGATCCATCGCCATCTCTTCCTTGTGTTGTAGTCCCTTAAGATCATGGGGAGATATGCACAATCATGCTGACCATCATGATGATGATGGTGATGATGATATTCCAGAGTCACAACTACATTCAGAGCCAACACCACCATCTCAGGTTAGAAGGTCTACCAGAGTTAGAAAATCTTCCACGAGACTTTCAAAGGATGATTTTGAATTAGTCACTGATGGAGGAGAGCCAAAGACATGATGAGGTTATGTCATATGTGCACCGCAAGAAGTGGTATGATGCCATGCAAGATGAGATGACATCTTTGCATGAAAACCATACATATGAGTTTGTGGTCTTTCCTAAGGGCCAAAGAACACTCAAGAACAAGTGGGTATACAGATTAAAGTGTGATGAGAGTAGCTCACAACCAAGGTACAAGGCAAGATTGGTTGTGAAGGGATTCCTTCAGAAGAAGGGCATAGATTTTGATGAGATATTTTCTCCAGTTGTGAAGGTGTCCTCTATTTAAGATATACTTGGCCTAGCTGCTAGCATGGATTGGAGATTGAGTAGATTGATGTGAAATCATCTCTTCATGATGATTTTGATGAGGAAATCTACATGGAGCAACTTGAAGGCTTTTAGGTTAAGGGAAAGGAGAAGTTGGTTTGCCATTTGTAGAAAAGTTTGTATGGTTTGAAACAGGCACCTCGAGAGTGGTATAAGAAGTTTGAATCCTTTATGGTTGATCATGGCTTCCACAAAACGCATGTTGATCGTTGTGTCTTTGTGAAGAATTACTTCGATGGTGATTTTCTTATTCTCTTTTTATATGTAGATAGTATGTTGATTGTTGGGCAAGACACCGAGAAGATTGCTAGCTTGAAGAAGTGATTAGGTAAGTCCTCTGCAATGGACTTAGGCCCTGCTAAAGAGATTTTAACCATGAGGATCATTCGTATAGAAAGAACAAGAAACTTTGGCTATCAAAGCAGAGATATATTGAGAAGGGGCTTAGTAGGTTCAACATGAGCAATGCTAAACCTGTGAGCTCTCCACTTGCAGGCCACATGATGTCGAGTATGGACTAATGTCCTTCAAGTGAGAAAGAAAAGCAAGAGATGGGTAAGGTGCCTTATGCTTCCACTTGCAGGCCACATGACGTCGAGTATGGACTAATGTCCTTCAAGTGAGAAAGAAAAGCAAGAGATGGACAAGGTGCCTTATGCTTAGCCGTGGATAGTTTGTTGTATGCTATGGTTTGTACGAGGCCATAAATTGCACATTGAGTTAGGGTCGTTAGTCGCTACATGTTGAATCCGAGTTAAGAGCACTGAGCAGCCGTGAAGTGAATTCTCAGATATCTTAGATTTATGTTTTGGTACTGGACAACCTGTGTTAGATGGGTACACAGATGCAGATATGTTTGGAGATGTTGATACTGCAAAGTCTATCTCGGGATACTTGATGACATTTGCTGGAGCTACAGTTTCATGGCAATCAAGATTGCAGAAGTGTGTTGTTATGTCCACTACTGAGGTAGAGTATATAGCAGCTTTTGAGGCAGGAAAGGAGTTGTTATGGATGAAGAATTTCCTTGAGGAGCTTGGTTTGGACCAAGGAAACTACCTTCTTCATTGTGATCCACGGAGTGCCATCCACCTTGCCAAGAATATCGCTTTTCATTCTCGATCTAAATACATTAAGAGAAGGTATCATTGGATTTGAGAAGCCGTGGATGACAAGTTATTTGAGCTTGTGAAGATTCACACAAGTCAGAACTTTTTGGATATGTTGACCAAAACTTTGCCAAATGGGAAGATCATCTTTTGTCGAGGAAAGAACGGTTTGATTGCTCACTCCATGTAGGAGTAAGTCTGAGAAAGTGTCAATTTTATTGAACATTTCATCTCTCAAATCTTTATTTGGGCTTATTTTTTATGTGCAACTTTTAGCACAAAAGTTATTTCATCTTGGCCCATTTGATTCTCTTTTTGAGTGGTTAAGTAATGAGATAAAAGAATAAAAATAGAGAGTTGTGACAAGTAGTAGCCAATATGCAACAAAATGGAATGAGGAAAAAACCTCCATTTTCATCATACTGTGCAGCAACCACATTTTGCTTTTGGATCAAGGCCAAACGATGTCCGATTGTGCTCAAATTTTAGTATGTTCCTCACATACTCCTTTTCAAATGCAACGGTCAGTTTCTCGTTTTGATGCTCGGAAGGTAATTTTGTGGCAGCTTCTTTGTACCTGCAATTTTGGGAGTTTATGCTTCATTTTTGTTGAAATTGTTGATTGTTGTTGTTCCAAGGTTGCTCCTTGATGATTTTATTTGCTTCTAGTGTTTACTAGAGAGGAGAACTTGTACCACTTGGTTCTTGGTGATTAGTGGAAGTTTTGGTACCGTTGTTGAACGGTCATGATTTACTTCCCGATTTGGGGTTTTCACGTAAATTGTTTGTTCTCAACTTTATTTCCATTCCTATTTATTTGTGTTGGTGCTCTTGATTTTTCCGAGTCAATTGTGCCTTGTCATTCATCTCGTTTATTTGGGGAAAAGATTTAATTCGCTTCCATTGTGTTTCGTCCTTGCTTCCCCAACACGAGATGGTAGACGTTGGATAACACAGCGATTAGAACATCAGTGCAAACCAGCATGGAGGAGAAAATTGTGTGCCAGTGGAGACGCAATGGTAGATGTTGGGCAGTGCAAGAAGGTGCATTGGATTTCATGTAGAGAAATTGCAAGCAATGGCAGCATCAAAGAACGTTGCGGAGCATCAGAATTAGGGGTGGAAATGACCCGGTTTTGGGTCCCACAGGCAGAATCTTAAGCGAACTGGTTCCAAAACCGCTAGTTCTGGTACCGGTTCTGGACCTGAACCTTGTCCACCGTAGTTAGATTGGCACCGGCAGGGGGAGGGCTGCACAAGCAGCAAGAAAAAAAAGAAAAATTAGTTTAATTGTACAGGGTCTGATACCATGTGCAATACCAATGCGACTTACCCAACTGGGTAGCAGGTAGCTTGAGACTATATTTGTAATCGGGTTTAGGGTTACAGATGTAGGGATAAAGCAAGATACAAGGCCTATTGGGAGCAAACTGTAAATACAAACTCGTACTCCACTAATTTCATTTCTTAAACACCGTGTAAAAAGCAACTGTCAAGATAAATTTGGGACCGAAGGGGGTATTTGACTTTGCATTCCACTTAGGGTGTATTCTGAAAAAAAATACTCCGTAATAAATCATAGGCTGAAAAGCCAAATATTAGTGTTAATTTTGTGTGTTAATACCAAATATCCCAAAATATATTAAAAAGCTACTGTCAAGATAAATTTAGGACCAAAGGGGTATTTGACTTTGCATTCCACTTAGGGTGTATTCTGAAAAGAATAAATCATAGGCTGAAAAGCCAAATACTAGTGTAAACTTTGCATGTCAATACCAAATATCCCAAAATATATTCAGTAAATACTGCATTGCATGCATAGAAAGACTTGCTGATAAGTGAATATTTGGCTGTTGTTACTACTTACTAGTTGGCATCTTGATTTCTGCATCAGATTTGAGATGGTGTAAGCCTTCATAAACTACTGATGGGTTGTAGTAGTTGGTACTTGGGTACTTGTATCACTGGTGATCTATCTAGCAAATGTGGCATGCAAAGTGTTGTGTTTACATTTGATGCAATATTCATCCGTTTTTATCGATTTTTTTTCATGTGCAGGAGCTTGGGGGTGCATTGACCAAATTGAAAATTTTCTCTGTGGTAAAAATCTACTCCGTACTTACCTTTTCTAGGGTTGCATTTTACTTGGCACATAATACTCGCTTGGAACTATCTTCATGAGATTATGCATGTTTTAGGATTTGGTAACTTATTACTCACCCTTTATCAACCACCAATTTATTTAAACCTTGCATGATGCATACTTAGGATAAGAGTTGGTTTTAAAAAAAACATATGTAGTGTATGATTTTGATGTTCCCTGGCTCATTCTTCTCGTTTCCATTGTGTGTTTAGATTTCAGGTTTGTGAGAGTTACATTTATTGACTTTTTGAAAAGTCAAGTATACTTACTACTCCATAAATACTGTAATAATAAAAAACAGTACTCCATATATTATTGGGGTACTTGAAAGTTTAGCCAAGTTAAGTACAAATCCTACCAAACCCACTTTTGTTTTTGTTTGTTTTTTGTTTTGCTGCGTTTGTGAGAAGAAAAAATGGGTATTGGTGTATCATTTTCTCATAAACTTGTTAAAATGCCTTTGCAGCCGACGGTACAGTTCTTCCACAATGGTAAAAAGGACTCTGAATTTGTCGGAGTTGATGTTCAACGGTTGAAAGATACAATGGAGAGACTCTATAAATGTTGAACATTGTGATGGGGCTACAAGACATGAACCAGAAGAACATTTAGTGTGTTTTTGTCATAGTTTTTGTTTTATTATTAAAGTTTCAGGGCATTGTAGTGACTGATGAAACAAAGGATGATTGTTATTAGCTTTTAGGAACAATTTTTGTGATTAGCATTAGAATTTGGAATGCATAATTAATGCTGCATATTAAATAATAGAAATGCTAAAGCACAATATTAGTTAGATATCCATTTCTATTTATTCTATGGCGATGACAATGCGAGTTCCGAACCCTATTAAGATGTAAGTTTAGACGTAGTGCTACATTAACATCCTAAAATTTCATACTCCTTCATTTTCCCTAATTTGGAAAATAAAATTTACGTTAAAATCTATTTTGCCCTTCCTACCAATAAATTCACAAACTTATTTGTTTATCCTCATTCACCCATCCACCCTCCTTTTTCTCCCTCATCTTATTCCATATTTTATTTATCGCATAGTGCCTTTTGGATCTATTCCTCTTCTCCTACCCGTCTCTTGCTTAGATCTAACCTTGTTCTCTCCCATCTTCTCGCTTAGATCCGACATAGTTCTCTGATCTTTTTGCTTAAATCCTGTCTTCTTCGAAAGGCAATAATGGAGTCCTCTTTCTTTGAGTTTTATTTATGCTCTATCTCCGAAGAGACTCCAGATGTTGGAGTGAGCGATTCTGATTTATCCCTGCATGCGTCTCCTGGTGCTGAATTGCTACCCCTTAATGTGCTTGGGGCCTCTATGCACACCCCTTATGAATCATTCATTGAAGCTGCAAAGCTCCAATTTGACCCAAGGTTCACCGGGCTCCCAGAGTACCATGCGCCTTCTACAAAGGCACTTTTAAGAATCAAGTTTCCTTTGATGTTTAAGCAAAGGGGGAGTGGTTTAACATTTGAGTATGACGATGGAAAGGTGGCGGCGGTCAAAGACTCCGACCTGTTGCTCTCCCTACACCGGTCACTGGCACGCATAAAAAAGAGACTCTGTGTCGTAGGTCACACTCTTCCACCTCCTAATCCCGATGACAATGATGAAGAGGAAGTATTCTTTGTGCATGAGTTTGAGGAGCGGGATGGCTAACAAGTGTGCCCTCAAGTACTTGTGCCCTAGTGCTAGCAAGGGAAGTACTAGTCCCGCATTTATGCACTCTTATTGTTAGTGGTATGCTTTAGGTTACTACCCACTGTAGAGTTGTTTTATGATCTGTGAAGTTGATGTTCCTGGAAGTTTTTCCATACATGAGTCTATTTTGCTTGAATGTGACTAGAATTATGATGTTCCTGGAATTTCATTCTAGATACTGAAATTAGTTTTTCCAAAAAAGAAACCCTAAATGGTTACTACACTTGGTTGTTCACTTCAAATGGTTTTTCTAAAAAGAACTTAGATATTGGACTCTTTTCTTTTTATGTCCCTTTGTGATTTTATGGGTGTGGCCAGTGATGAATGTACTGTAAGTACAACACATAGAAATTGTATTGTTGTCACTCCATTTACCTTATTTGGGAATATTGATGAGACTTCTCTAGACTAGGATGTTGGTGCTCAGCAAAGGCTTTTCTAGGTTAACCCTATCCCCAAAATAATTAGGGAGTACTACCTTTGTCTCACTCTTCTATGTCTCACTCTCTTTGTCCACGTTGTTTTTGGCACAAAAGGCCTTCCAAAGACAACACTTGATTTTACAAAAGGACTAAAATATTACACCTGCTTTTAAGGAAAACAAACCTTGCTGATCTACACTTGCTTTTAAACAAAACAAAGGCTTCACTTATTACACTTGATATTAACAAAAAAGGGCCCGCAGAAACTACACTTGCTTTTAAATAAAACAAAGGCTTCACTTACTACACTTGGTAGTAACAAAAAAAGGTCCTGCAGATACTACACATGCTTTTAAACAAAACAAAGGCTTCAGTTACTACACTTGGTATTAACAAAAAAGGCCCTACAGATACTACACATGCTTTTACAAAACATATTACACTTGCTTTTAAAGAAAAAGACCATGCACATACTTCACTTGTTTTCTTACAAAAGTAAGGTCTAACTTTAACATTTGGTTTCTAGCAAAAAAAGACTTTTCAGATTCTACACTTTCTGATTGTAATGAAAGTTAGGTTTTATTTTTGTCCAAAAAATTGGGAGAAAGACCAAAGTAGGACTAAACATTGAAGACATACCAAAATAGGACTTCCATTATTTTATTTCTGAAATAGGACTTACATTACCAAACATGGTCATATACATTACCAAAAAAGTATAGTAATCTACACATGTACACTGCCACATTACCACAATGCAAAGTCACATTACCACAGTGCAAAGTCCTATTCCGGGGAAAAAAACATGAAAGTCCTGTTTTGGTACTTTTCTCTATGTTTTAGTCCTATTTAGGATGATTTCTAAAAAATTACACACTTCATCACTTTGAAGCAGTTCATGTCTAGAGATCATTATCATCTTCATCCATGAACTCTCCCACTGTATTACTATTGATATACAATCTCCAATCCATTTCTAGCAATAATGACAAATATTCTTGAGCTTTGGCAATTGTTGTTGTGTTAGGACATACTGACATAGGTAGTTCTCCTTACTTGAAGAGTGTATTTTTCCACACATGTATGATCTTGTATGCATTACCACCAAGTACTTTTATGATCTCCCCCATGCAATACTGCAGAATCTGCCGCACAAAATTTGATAGCTTTATGTTGAACTCATTGTATGTCTGGACAACGTTCATCAATTTTTTGCACTTTTTCTCTTGTTGCAGTGATTGAATAGTCCTAAAGTAACCAAAATAAAGAACATTTAGATCAAGAGTGTTTGGTGGTTGATTAGTTAAATCAATGTCAAACCCATAGATTTCCAGTCTTGTACAACAAGAAGTGTAATCTTCTTCAACCTCACAAGAAAACTTTCACAAGAGTAGAAATAAGAAAATGACTAAGCTCTATAGATGATAAGAACACTCTCTTGGAAAGAAATAGTTTTTTCGAAAAAATAACTTAATTTGAGGAAGAAATTAATGGAGGATGAAAACCACAAGAATGAGGTGTTTTTATAGTGTTTCACGTGTCTAAAAATGACCAAGGAAGAGGGTTTTAAATAGGGTAATGAGAATATATCCGTTCGTCCAAGAAAATAAAGTGATGCTGAAAAAAGATCCTAAAAATCAATTTTTTTCTTCAAAAACTGATTTTTATCAGCTGATTTTAGACCGATGAATTCCAAAAAAAAGTCAAAAAATTGATTTTTACAAAAGGGAAAATTAATTTTTATGGTGTGGACAACAAAGATAAGATCTCAAGGAACATTTGCACAGGATAACCCATGTGAGAATGTGTAGAATTGATGGTTCAAAGACCCAATGATGTACTCCCTCCGTCCTATATCTTTCTTCCCGTTGCGCAAAACGAAGAAAAATCCCAAGTTTTTTCAATCTATTTTATTTAAATATTGGTATAGAAATAAAAAAATAAAACATACATATTTAAAAACTACATCAAAAGTTCAACAAAACAAGTGGTGATAATAATATTTTATTTTATCATATAGGCCATGAAAAAACACAAATAAATATAAATTCTCGTGAAATTAGAATAGTGCTCTGGGAAGAAAGTTTTAGGACGGAGGGAGTATCTAAATTCAAATTTTGAATTTGAATTTAGTTGGGGTGCAAAATTGAGCCCGAAAAAATATATTGTGTATCAAGCGATAACCGAAAATATTTGAATAAAATATTTTTGCTTACCAAAAATATTTTCTAATATCAAAATGAGTATTTTGATAAATGTTTGACACACCTTTTGTAACTTACTCAATAAAAGTATTTTTGAACAGTTAACTTTTTTTTAACTGACTCCAAAATAAGTACTCCCTCTATCCCTGAAACCTTTCTTCTTTCTTTTTTCATTTGTCCCAACAAACTTTTTCTCATTTATATTAAAAAGTCACTTTTAATCTTACTAATTATTAACCTACCTATCCCATCACATTTATACACTATTAATCTATCCACCAAATCTTTAGTTTACGCATCACATCCAAAAGTATTTTTAGAAACTCAACACCAAAATACACTCTAGCTTTTAAATCCCTTAAAAATGTTTTCAAGGACGGAGGGAGTATAATTTTTGAATGGGGTTCCGTTAACACTCGCCAAAGATGACACTAGCGATGCCACTGTGTTTTTGGAGCACTTCTGGTGCTCCAATCAGAAAATTGATGGTTCTTACCTCCAAACGGCCTAACCCACCCCTAAACCCCTCACCCTAGTCTCACCCCTACCCCACCTCAGCTCCACCCTAAGCTTCTTCCAAATATGTGGCTATTATACATTACTGTTTAGTCTAAATGGGAAGGGTTTTTCCAAATGGGGAGGGTATATATCTATGTATGTGTGGGTGTGAATAATAATGATGAGTTGAACCATATTATTTGCTACTTTTTCTTTTCATCCAAAAATACCTATAAAAATATAGAGTAAATTCCATAATTGGTCCTTTATAACATGGGGGTTTTCATATTTAGTCCTCTATTATCAAATATTACCCTCGCAATCCTTTTTTTAAGGGTGCCTTTCTACAAATGGTCCTTTTTTTGATATTTCGCTATATGAGTGTTAATTTAAAGGCTAAAGGTATAATTTGACATCAACATTATGTCTAGTGACGTGTAATGATGTTGGTTAAGCGGATAACACAAAAATAATGACTATGATTGTGGGCTAGGATTCCGACGGAAGACCACATTTATAGACTATGGTTGTAGTAGAAAGCAAATGTAATTTACAAACGACGCAAACAGAACAATCTTTGGAATTGTGTTTGGCAAAAAAGATTATTATCATTGTGAAATTACACTTTTTGTAACGCCACGACCTAGATACCCAAATTTATTTGAGTATCCGACTCGCAGTGTTAATGGGTGTAACTTTTTGAATCGGAAAATGGAGCATTAACAAAATTTATTTATTTAGTGATAATATCAGAGTAATTATTATACATGCGGAAGCTTAACATATTCGTACAAAATATATATTTCAAAATAACATCTTTATTGTTATTATCTTTCTTTATGTCATCTCGTCTATCCTTCCATCGCCTTAACATTGTCCTCCGGTTCGGTCACTATTCTGTTTGTGTACCTAAAAAATGGAGCCAACCCGATCAGCAAAAGCTGAGTGGTACCAATTATAACAATAGGTACAAAATATAATAGCGTAAACATATACTTTTCTCAAAATTCTTTACTTTGATAATATTAAATCATTTCTATTTCAGTATTCCATAAAGGTACAATATCCACATATTTGAACTTTTTCTTTACTCGGCTTTATTCTTGTTTAACTGGGACTTCAAGTACTTAACGTACAAGACAAGTCCATTATGTAACTGGGACTCCGAGTACTTAACGTACACGACTGGTCCATTATGACTGGCTCGTACGTACGGCAATGGAGGGGTACTGGTTAACCCTGGCTCGTACGTACGGCAAAATTTATTTATTTAGTGATAATATCAGAGTAATTATTATACATGCGGAAACTTAACATATTCGTACAAAATATATAGTTCACATACCAGAAATCGTTTATTAAATTTAGAAAATATATTTGTATCTGTATGTGTCTCATTAACTTCTTTGAATCCATATTTCAAATTTAACACATATCATATTTTACTCTATATACGTAATTTAAAAATAATACATAGAGTATTTTATATTTGATACAAAGCTATTCTCTTTTTTTTTCTTACTAAAAACTTATTAAAAACTTCCTTACTAAAAACATATTAAAAACTTCCTTAAAATGTAAAGAAATAGTTTTAGGTGTAGAATATTGAAAAATCTCGTCACTGGAGTTGGTCGTTTCCGGTCATCTTCTCTGACGAGGTAACTCTGTTTTTATGTTCAAAACTCAATTTTTCTTCTTTTTCTCATCAAAATACTTTTTCTAGAACATATATAAATAGTTTGGATGTAAAAATTTGTAAAAAATACGCGTCACCATCGAGACCCATTTTTCAGTCGCATTCCTTAACGGTGTTCAAAAATTTGTTTCAAAACGTTATTTTCTATTCGCATGCCCTTATATAATCATCATAGAATCCTTTTGGGAATATTTTAGATAATTTGGACGTAACACATGTTAAAAATAAAAGTCGGCGGCGTTCCCGATTATTAGTGACAGAAATTAAATCAATTGAATATATAACAAATATAGCATATATTAACGTATTATATTAAGTAACGATTGTTATACGGGCGGCGATACTCACCTTAGTTTGTAGAACCGGAAAAGTTTCTGAACAAACGGTGGACTACTGCTAGCGATTGTTTCAGGTTTTTATTTGTTTTGTTTTTGTTTTGTTTTAGACTAGCTCATGTGTTTACCATACCAAATTCTAAGAGCTGTAGAAGAACAAGTTTTCTCACGCATGAAAATAATACTCCTCTATTGGGCTCAAAATATAATATATTTAATTATTTATAGTACAAGGCAAATGACCTTTGAGACTTTTTAAGAGTATTCATGGAATCATGGCGGCTGGCCTTTAATCATAAAATGGAGCCATTATTACATTTGTGTATTATTACAGCTAAGTCGGCCTATAGAGGATAAGAAGATAACTAGATAAGCATTACTTGGGTACTCTTTCTAGTTTATTTATCCCAATATGTTCAGTTCGAATTTCTATCAAATATATTTTTTTTATACAAAAATACTCCCTCCGTCCCGAAATGTTTGTCCACTTTCATTTTTGCACACCATCCAATGCATTTCTTTAATCCATTTTATCTTGTAATTTGTATATTAAAAAATTATAAAAATTATATATTAATAATCTATATGTTAAAACGAATCAAACAAGATCAATCTATATTTTTAGGCTTACACATTGAGAGAATTTGATGAGTCAAAGTACTTAGATGAACAGTTCCAAAAGTCAAAATTGGACAAACACTCAGGGACGGACCAAGTAATAACTTATTTTATTTTAAATATCTTATTAAATATTTTATAACATTTTTATTTTAAGGTGTTACACTTTTAGCCTTCAAATTAAAACCAACATGATAGAAGATAAAAAAATGACTATTTGTGGAAAGATACTCATAAAAGAAGGACCACTGATGTAATATTTGATAATAGAGGACTAAATAGGGAAACTCCCCTGTTATAAAGGACCAATTATGCAATTTACACAAAAATTTATAATCAATCAAGTTTCAATATTCCTCTCTTTACTTTTCTTCCCCACTTTTCTTTCTCCAATTCTTTTGAACTCCATTCATTCAAACAAAGCCTAATTAATAAATAATGCGGGGTAGAAGTAAATAAATAAAGAAATGAGGTGCATTTGGGTTAATTGTACATAGTCCCCCCTTATATTATAAGAGCCAACTGCGTTTATCTCAGTCAAATTAGCTCTTTTTCCGTCTCTTTTTCCGTCCCTTTACCCACATCACCACTTTCCCACCGCCTTTCTTCCTTGCTTTTCTCTCTTTCCCCACACTCCTCTTCTCCAACTCATCTACCTGAAATCAAGGTAATTTTATACTTTTTCTTCACATTAGACAGCACCCTTTGGGGTTTAGATGCACACTTCACTTCCTAATTAGTGCGACAGGGACGCCCACGGCCAGTTGCGCAGTCTCCGACGCCCACGATTCCGGAATCCGTCCAAGGAATCTCCGGGTGCCCGCTTTCCTCTTCAATTTGCAGGTGTTTTTTCTCATTAGTAGCTCTTCATATCATTCAATTCATCAATTATAATCTTCTTTACTTTTCAAAATTAGTCATACTAATTAGCTATTTGAATTTTTTGGGTTAACATTCAATCAGTTTCACAATTTGAGAGTTATACAATTCCGTCAATTTCTAAATTGAGTCAATTCATAAAACATTTATTTCAATTTAGAATTTGAATTTAGGTTTAGCAAAAAAACTGAATTTTGAACACTTTAGTTCTTTGTGTTTCAATTACATTGTTCTTTACTGTATTTATGAAAATTTCGTTTTTTTTCATATTTTTTTTAGTAAAAACTTGTTCTCTATCTGTATTTGATTACTATATATCTATTGAAATATACAAAAGGTTGTTCTCATTTTTTCCAACCTTTAGTGGTGTAGTGTTAAATTACACTACAGGATGAAAACCAGGCAAAACACAGGGAGTAAATATTTTATAATGATTGTGAGTGAAGAAGTTCACTACTTTCAGTTGTTACATTTGGCTAATGTAGAGGTAGGTGCAAAAAAAACCCTACCCCTATACTTCCTTTGATTCAAAATGTATTGGGGCTTCAAGAACATGTACTCTTGGTTTGAGTGTAGTGTGCCGCACAGAGGTTACAATGCTTGATCTAAAATACTATTAGTATATTGATCACTATATGAGCCCATTTTGTATTCTAGCTAAGGACATCTGAAACAGCCTTAAATATCATAAGGTCCTTTACAAGGGAAATGAACCTTGATATCTATCCAATGTAGAACAACACTAAGGTGGTGTGGCTATGTGAGATAACATACTTGCAGGAGTCGTAAACAACTGGAATTTGGGTAATATTGAAGCGTCTGCAGTTGAAACACAGCATTAGGGAAAATTCAATAGAAACAACAATGGTCTATTCTGTTGGGCAGTAAGAAAAAAATCATCATAAACAAGTACATTCTTAAAAGTATAACCCCACATTAGTTGGGTCAGAAAGAGTGACACTTACTCCCTGCGTGCATTATATAGTTCTCTTTCAAGTTTTCTCCATCTTGCATACATGAGAAGGAACCCCTCTCTATCACAAGGGAGACCTGTAGCAATACGGTCAACATCTATATTTGTTTTACCAAGAGTCTTTGTTTGATCATACGCTGAAATCACATCATAAGAGCTTGTGCCAGCAAGTTCTTTATCTTCATCCTTAGCAAGAAGTTGTACCTGCTCTGCCACTTTCTTAGTCAACTTCACCTAACAAATATAGGCAAAAACCAAGATTATAGTACGTTTTAACAAAGTGAAGTAAGGAGGAGCGAACTATCGGCTCTTCTCTTGTTTCTGCTCCATCGCCCACTGTCTTCTTTCCACATACACACCTCCTCTGTGGCGGACTATCTGCACTATCTATTATTTTCACTACTCTCATGTCGGCTTCTCTATCATCCCTATTGATTATTTATCTTCACTCTAATCACACGAAGCCGAAGCCTCTGCAGTCCTGCCTCTGCAAACTTTCGTCCAGGTACTCAACCTTAATCCTTGTTTTCCCTTTTGAATTCTAAAGTTTAAGCATTCAACCAAATTTGTTGTCTTCCTTTGTATGGATCTCTCTATTCCCTTGATTTTGGTACATTTTATATTCTCCTTGGCTTGCACGGTATGTATAGCACCATTTTTTTCTGAATTGATGCAAATATGTACTGGAATAGAACTCTATTTACAAAAAAAAGCTGACATCTTTTTGATTAATTACATTTCTTGTTTGGTTCTCACGCCTAGACTCACGACTTAATAGGTTAATGAGTCGGTGAGTTTTGATTTTCCCTATCACAGCCAATTATCATAAACTCTCGCTCTGAGTCGGTGGGTTTTGATTTTCCCATCCGAGTGTGTTTTTCAGTTGCTGATTTTTTTTTGAGGGGGCTAGAAATTGTGGGGTTTTTCTCCTGTTTCGGAATTGTTTGTGGTGTTTTAAGCACACCCATATCATGTAGTTTGTGATTTCCTTCTATCCCCAGATTAGGTCTGAAGAAAGGGTTTTTTTAGGAAAATTAGAGCGATCAATTAATCAATCAATATGTTTTCCTAGGTGTTATTTTCTGGGATTTTTGGTATCTTTCTTCTGAATTTTGGATCTAATTTCTAAGTAGTGATTTTAAAGAGATTCTATTGGATTGGACTTGCTACGGAGTAATTAATGAATGATATTGTTTTCAAAGTGAAGCTTGGTTAAATCATGAAGAAGAAGAAGAAGAAAGGGGCTGAAAGAAGAAGAAAAAGAAAGGAGCGGGAGGGGGAGTAGAAAAAATGAAATGGGGTCAAATTGAAAATTTTAAAATATATAAAATTCTAATTTTGCCCAAATAATCGGAATGGAAATGGGTAATTGGACTTTTAGTGAAATGATTATGTAAGTTCAGGTATTTTTTTGAAATGATTTAAAGTTTAGGTACTACTTTCGAAATTCCACTGAAAGTTCGGGTACCATTATTGAAATATACCCACCAAATAGGTAATAACCCCTAAAGAAGCTAGAGCAAGACCTAATGCGAATTATTGATTGTATCATAAAGACCCTTATGCCCACTTCCTCCGGGAGGAATATGTGTATCTAATAGATCCTGGATACTGAGTCCAATCCCAAAATTTGTTCTATATGTATGACTAGCAACAAGGAAAAAAAATTTAATAGGCTAAATGCAACAGGACTGATCCCTTACTCTTTACGAGTATATTGCAATGCTTACACTTCATGCCTAAATTACCATGTGAAACACTTTTTTTTGCAATCTCTTAGATGTCTAATCAGTAACCATTTAAACTTCTCCTTTTGCACTCTTTTGGTTGTGAGAAAAAAACAGAATTGATCTTTAACTCCCTCTCTATTGTCATACATACTCTCTACTTTTGCACTCTTTTAGTTTTAAATCTATTACTTTCGCCATAAGTTGGAATCCCTGCACTTTATATTTAAATTACCATGTAAAACACCTCTTAGGCGTTGTTTTTTTGCACACTTTTGGTTGTAAAAAACTAATATTCCATACTGGGCACCAACAGCACATAGTGCGTCCACACTATAGGTACAAAATTGGTGACAGCCGTGAGCTTAATTCGCCGGCGCCATTCAAATCATCACCAAACCGCCACCTATACATATTATAGTTATAGATTTTCTTTCTAATAAGAATTGTGATATAAAAACAAAAGATCTCTTTTTATTTAAATATAAAAAGATCTCTTTTTATTTAAATTATTATGAAATTCAAGAGAGAGGAGACCTAGAAGGAGCTCCCTTGCGGCGACTAGTCGTCAAAGAGAGCATGAAACCGGTGGGGCCCTTATTATTGTTGTTATTCGCGATTGTTTCTGGAGGGGAAAGTGAAATTCCGGAAATGCCCATCTCATAATTATTGGAGCAAGAGGATGACGAGTTCTTGTAAATATCCAGTGGGCCCTCTAGGATAGAGTTTGGGGTAATTTGGCCATCTGTGTCCTGCGAATCTGAGCCGTCCATTTGAAGAAGCCCATTCTCCACATCAATCTCGGATGCATCGAACTTGTACACAATGCTACACAAGTCTTGATCATTGTAGACCATAAAATCGACCTGTATGCGAAGCCATGGGTGGTTACAAATCTCACATCTCATGTGTATGTGTACAAGTATGAAATACATGCATGACAAGTACCTAATGATACAATTTGGAATTAGACATGTGCAAAACAAGGGTCTGCCGGTCCAGCCCGCCCTTTAAAATGGGCAGATATGGACAATCTTTAATACCCACATGGGCGGGCCGGCCCAAGCCTGAATTGTATTTGGTGGGATCTAGAAATTACTTTTAGCCCATTCAGGCCAATAGGTCCGCCCATATTCATTAAATACATTTACTTTATTATTAATTATCTAGACATAATAAATTTTAAAATTTTCTTTAATTCATGTAAAATAGTTCATATCACTCACCCCTCTTAAACAAAAATCAATAGTGTTTTAATGAATCTGTATGATGGGTTTATTAATTATGTAACAATATTTTTATTATGTTTTCTATGTAAATGTGGCGAGTGGTAATTTTATTTTAAACATTTGAAAAGGAGTTCAATATTTTCTTTTTGATTTTTTTGTGTAAAAAAGATTTACTTGATGTTTTATCCGGGCCGGGCGGCCCGGTGGGCAGTTCGTCCTGCTAAAGTGGGCGGGTATGGGTAAAGAGTTCAGCACATCAAATTTGGGTCGGGCCAAGCCCGCCCATGCAAATGGGCTAATAATTTGTATCAAGCCCGGCCCAGATCCGGCCCGGATTCTTATTTGCACAGGTCTATTTGGAATAGTGTAGGAACCACTAGACTGACCATAATATTTTTTTGGTTAAACAATATTAGAAAATTAAATTCAATCGAATATTTGTTTCAACTAAAGAGCTTATATATCCATTATTTTCTTCTCACTTTTCCGATGTGGAATATACCTTAACACTCATTTTGAATCTAACCGGTTGACCACTTGTAAATGGATTCTCATTCCCTTAATTTTTTTAGCACCAATCTTAACATCTAAAGGATCACGAGTCGCTTCGTATGGACTTCCAAACGAGCAGTCGGGTCAAACAGGCCACATGTCGTTGAATATACATTTCTCACAGACAACTAAGCTAAAGACTATGATCGCTAAGAATGAATGTCTAGAAAGGCACCTTAACAAATTAGGTGGGCCAAAACCAGCTCTGATACCAAAATAGAATGTAGAATGGGGTAGGAAGCACTAGACTCGGCATAAGACCTTTGAGTTGAATCACGTTAAAATATTGAATTCAATTGATTATTTAGTTCAACTCAAAACTTATATACTCATTATTTTCTTCCCACTTTTCTGATGCGGGATACTCTTTAACACTACCTCTCAAGTAGATAATCGGACCATTTTGAATATAACCGGTTGACCACTTGCAAATTGATTACCATCCCCTTGATTTTTTTAGAGCCAACACCTAAAGGACCATGAGCCACTGGGTATGGATTCCGAACGAGTAATAAGATTAAACAGGCCACATGGATATACATTCCACACGGACGACTAAGCTAAAGACTAGGGTCGCTAGGAATGAACGTCTTGACGAACACTTTAATAAATGAGGCGGGCTTAAACTGGCTCTGATACCATGACAGAATTTTGATTAGGGGAAGAATCACTAGACTGGCCATAAGATCTTTGAGTTGAACCATATTAAAAGATTGAATTCAATCAATTATTTAGTTTAACTCAAGAGCTTATATATCCCTTATTTTCTTCTTACTTTTCAAATGTGGGAAATTCTTTAAAACATAAAATAATATGTAGAAAATCAAATTTCAAGGAAAAAATGACCTTTTGAAATTTGTTATCCATGTCATAATTATATGACCTGGGTACCTACAATGCTAGTACTCTCTATTGATAAAATTGATATATAGTTCATACCTCCAAACACACAATTGCACCCCAACCTCCCCCATTCCGATCCCCACTACTAAATTGGCGATCGTCGATATTGCTTGGGATGCAGATAATAAAAGATATGGTAAGTGATGGGTAATAACCCATTGATACCGCCCTGTCGGTCCGGTCGACTGGGTGGTAACGAAAGTAACAAGGCGCGACCTCTTCATCCCGGGTTGTTTGAGCGGTCTAGATGGGTAGGCTGGGCGGCAGAGATACAGATTCTATTTTCCAGGTGTGCCTAGGGGACCGGTCAGGAGACTGGCCGGCTAGATAATCAGAGACGTGCTTGACGTGCTTAAGATTATTATAAATACCCCTAAAAGCCTCATTTGTGAGGCAGGTTTTAATTAATCCACACGGCCTGTACTGTTGTAATAGCTTCTATTATTGTTAATAACAAGCCGGGTTATAGGTGTCTCCACCTACAACCCTTCCGATTATTTATACTTTGCATTTGCGTGGTAATTTACACCATCAAATTGGCGCCGACCGTGGGACCTATTACAAAAAGTCATGGCAAGCAACCAGGAAACCATCATCTCACAAATCTCTACTCCCGCTGAGAACGTCACTTCGTTCCCGGGAGGGAGTACCCAACCCTCAAGCCAGATTCCTACCCCCATTCTCACCATTCCGCCATCTACCCTATTCACTTCCCCTACCACATCTGTCCCCGTTTTCCCTCCAAATTTTCTCAGGCCCATGGACCCGATGTATTCTTAGTCGTTCCAAAATTTTGGAGAGTTCATGTCCATGTTTCAACAGCCGGGAGGATTTTCACCTTTGATTCCCGGATTGTATCCACAACCCTTGCCCCAAACTAATATCATTCGCCCGGTCGCTCCAACAAATTTGATCGGAGAGATGGACAAGGCTGGTCCATTCCGATCTAGAAGGAGTCGGTCCCGGAGGTCACACACTCAAATCACGCCTGATGGCGATGTACGCTCAGTCCATAGCAAGGATGAGGACTGGGATGTTCCCCAGGCGCAAAAGAAGCTGAAGGGAAAGATGGTCCAACTGGAAGGATACAGGAGGTCAGCATTCCAAAGGCTTGGGCACGACGGCCGAAACCAAAACTGGCCGGCAAAAGAGCGACTAGGAGTGGAAACAACCCCAGTGAGTGCTTTTGACCGCCTGGGTAAAGGGGCCGAACGACCTGGTCGGACCAGGCGAACGGAACCACCCCATCGCGATGAGCCCCAACATTGTCGGGCGCCTCGGGAGGAAGAAGCGGAAAGCCATCCTAGGCACACGGTCCGCACGCACGAAGAACGACCCCGGGACCGTGTGGGCCGGGTCAAAGCACGTCTGGAAAAGTTGCAACGGCGGGTGGACCGCGACGAGAAGAAGAAAATCTTGCTGAACGAATCTCCGTTCACTGCCCGGGTTCATGAGACCCCATTTCTGAAGAAGGCAAAACGTGAGGTCCCAAAATTCACCGGAAAGGAGGACCCGGAAATACATGTCAAAACCCTTCATCAAAGTGAAAGGATGATGGGCCTTTCCGGGGACGAAAAATGTCTACTTTTCTTTCAAACCCTCCGCGGCCGGGCCGCTGAGTGGTTTCACAACCTCCCGGTCGGCGAGATCGATTCTTTCGATGAGCTGGCCGAGGTATTTCAGGAAAAGTTCAAAGAGAATTGTACCAAGAGGAAAAAGTTTACCTATTTGAGTACGGCCGGGCAGAGGGAACACGAAGATTTGACCAAATTCCTCACCCGGTGGAAGGACGAAGTTGACAAGGTGGAGGAGATGGACGATAAAACAGCCATGTCCCTCCTGGTGTCCGGGCTCCGGTCCGGAGAATTGTACAAAGAATTTTGTAGGAGGCCTCCCCAGTCCTACCAAGAGGCCCACAACACGGCTTGGGACTATGCTGACACCAAGGCGCAGGTGTCATCTAAGAGAGAGGCCGAGCAAGGCCATTCCAAAGGGAGGATTTCCTTGAAAAAGGAAATCGAACTGCCCGGAAGGGTAAAAGCAGAAGTCTTGGAGGTGAAGCCGGTCAAGTCAGAAAAGAAACCGGCCAGGGAAAAGCAATGGATAGAGAAGTACTGCTCCTTCCATAAGACTGACTCCCATAACACTGCAGAATGCAATAGTGTTAAGGGGGTGATCAAGCAGATGATTGAGGCCGGGTAGCTCGACCCAGAATATCTGGCTCAGGCGAAACAAAAGAAAAACCAATGGGTCAGGCCCGAAGGACAACCGGCCGAGCAGAATAAAAAGAAGAAAGCAGCCGGTAAGGAGCACTTGTAGATCATCTATGGTGGACCAGAAGGGGGAGATTCTGCATCGCAAAGGAAGAAGTGGGGATGGGAACTCTACGTTGGCACGGTTGCCCTAGATCCCCGAAGGAAACAAACCAGAAGGGAGCCAATCACTTTCACAGACCGAGATCTTCCCGCCACCGGGGAAGATCACAATGACCCCCTGGCCATAACCATGGATATGGGTGGAGTCGATGTCTCCCGGGTACTCGTTGACACGGGCAGTAGTGTCAATGTTTTGTACTTAGAGGCATTTGAGAAGCTCAAGCGGTGTCGAACGCGGCTTGAGCCCTTGAAGACCCCCCTGTCTGGGTTCACCGGGGATTCTGTTGAAGCTGAGGGGTCAATCCTCTTAACTTGTGAATTGGGCACGGGAGACAAGATCGTCCAAAAACAGATGAGGTTTGTGGTAGTGAACATCAAGTGTGTTCATAAGGCCATTTTAGGCCGGCCTGAAATAAACAAAGTCCGTGGAATCATCTCCATGGCCCATCTCTGTATGAATTTCTATACCCCGGGCAGTATAGGACAAGTCAGAGGAGATCAGAAGAAGGCCCGGTCTTGTTACTTGGAGGCTGTAAAAAAGATGACCAAGGCATTTGAAAGGGTTACCTTGGTCTCCCAGGAAGAGGAGCGGTCAAAGCTAGAGCCGGGTGATGAGACCGAGCAGATTGTTCTCCGGGAGGCTTTCCCGGAAAGGATGGTGCGGATAGGACGGGATCTACCCAGAGGACTTCGAGAAGAAATCATCTCAGTCCTTCGAGAATATGCAGATATATTTGCTTGGAGTGTGGCGGACATGCCGGGCATAGATCGTTCGGTCATATGCCACCGGTTGGCTATAATAGAAGGTAGCCGGCCTGTGAAGCAAAAGAAGAGGCACTTGGCAAATGTCTGAAGGGACTTTGTTAAGAAAGAAGTAAAGGATCTGTTGTCAGTCGGGCACATCAGAGAAGTCCAATACCCGGCCTGGTTGGCAAACGTCCTCCTGGCTCCAAAGGGCGACACCTGGCGCATGCGCGTGGATTACACGGATCTGAACAAGGCCTGCCCCATGGATTCATACCCGCGGCCCAGTCCCGATCAGATGGTCGATGAGACGGCCGGGTGTGAGTTGCTGAGCTTCATGGACGCTTTCAAGGGCTACCATCAGATCTTCATGGCCAAGGAAGACGAGGAGAAGACTTCCTTCTTAACTCCTGAAGGGACCTATTGCTACCGGGTGATGGCTTTTGGGCTGAAGAATTCGGGCACTACTTACCAGAGGATGGTTAACTGGCTTTTCAAGCCGCTCCTCGGTAAGTCCATGGAAGCCTACGTAGACGACATGCTGATCATGAGCCCGGGAGCAATGAACCACCCGGCTGACATGAGGCTGTGCTTTGAGATCATGGCTAGGTACAACTTGCGCCTCAACCCCAAGAAATGCGTCTTTGCTGTAAAGACCGGCAAGTTTTTGGGGTTCATGGTGACCAAGTGTGGTATTGAGCCTAATCCTGAAAAGATTAAAGCCATAACTAAGATGAGGTCGCCCGGTTCACTGAAGGATGTGCAGCGACTCACAGGGCGGCTGGCAGCTTTGAGCCGTTTTCTTTCCCGCTCAGCCGAAAGAGCTTTGCCCTTCTTCAAAGTCTTGAAGAAGGCCAACACATTTGAATGGGACCGGGAGTGTGAAGAAGCTTTTCAGCAGCTGAAGGACTACTTAGTTTCTGATATAGTTTTGTCTAAGCCCAAACCGGGTGAGACTTTGTACTTGTATCTGGGCATATCCCAAAACGTTGTAAGCTCTGTTTTGATAAGAAATGAAGACGGCCAGAGGCCTATTTACTATGTGAGCAAAGCACTTAATGGGGCAGAAAGCAGGTACACTGCCATTGAGAAACAACATATGCACTTTTCATAACGGCCAAAAAACTGACCGCATACTTCCAAGCCCACGCGGTGGAAGTACTGACCGATCAGCCACTTGGACTGGTTCTTCGAAATTAAACCTCCTCGGGACGACTGATTAAGTGGGCAATGATGCTCACTCAGTTCAAGATTGAGTATAAACCTAGGACCGCAATTAAGGGTCAAGCTCTGGCCGACTTCCTTGTTGAACTAACCGGTCTGGAGCCTGAAGCCGGACCTTCCCATACGATCGAACCGTGGTGGGACATGGCCGTTGATGGGGCCTCTAGACCGAAGGGATGCGGAGCCGGCATAGACTTTACTACTCCAGAGGGGTTCAAAATCTACCATGCCTTAGTTTTTAACTTCAAGCTTACTAACAATGAAGCGGAGTATGAGGCACTAGCCGGTGGCCTCAGATTAGCCCGGGCACTTGGGATAAAGAGAATGAAGATCCGATCTAATTCAAGTCTTGTCGTCGAACAGGTCAATGGTGAGATGGAAGTCAAAGAAGAACGCAGTATAATGACCTGGTCCGAGCGCTTCTAAGGGAGTTAGAAGAGTTTCGTCTGACCAGGATACCCCGGTCAGAAAACACTGATGTTGATATGCTTTCAAAATTAACGCAAGCCTGCCCGGAGCATGTGTCGAAGTTGGCCAAAATAGAGATATTGGATCAACCCAGTGCTGACCGGTTTGAAGTCGCCACTATCCAGCCAGGCTAGAGTTCAGCTTCCAGGGTGATTGAGGCAGATGATGACTGGAGATACGATCTTATGGAGTACTTAATGACCGGCCAGAAGCCAGACGACGAAGAGCGAGCCAGGAAAGTCATCCTGCGAGCTCTCCGGTTTCAAGTACTGGACGGTCACCTATACAAACGTGCTATTGGCGGACCTCTCCTACGTTGTCTTACCAACCCGGAGGCCGAACGGGTATTAGCCGAGGTACATGAGGGAGTTTGTGCGGCCCATCAAATGTCCCGTACATTGGCTCAAAGGATAATAATGCTCGGCTACTACTGGCCGACCATTGTTAGGGATTGTGAGCGGTATGTCCAAAAATGTAGGACATGTCAAGTTTTTTACAAACATCCCGGCAGACCGGCCACATATTACCAACCAACCTCTAATGTCATACCATTTGCCCGGTTTGGGATTGACATTATTGGGGCTTTCCCGGTCGCCCAAGGCGGGAAGAAGTTCGTGATGGTCGCTATTGACTACTTCACCAAATGGATTGAGGCTGAGGCGATGGCTACCATAACTGTACGACAATGTGAGAAATTCGTTTGGAAGAACATTATTACCTGGTTCGGAGCCCCAAAAATGATTGTCACCGACAACGGCCCACATTTTCGCAACCCCCGGTTCACTGCGTACTTGGCTAGTTTTGGAATCAAGCATAGCAAGGCGTCAGTAGCATATCCACAAGGAAATGGCCAAGTCGAAAATGCTAACCGGATAATAGTTACCGGGCTAAAAAAGAGATTGGGTGAAGAAGGACACAAGTGGTTGGAAGCATTGCCTCACACGGTCTGGGCGCACAGAGTGACTTCAAGAAGAACAACTGGAGAGACTCCTTTTGTGCTCACTTATGGATGTGAAGCCCGGTTGCCAGTGGAGGCAGAAATTCCAACATTTAGGGAGACCGTATATCAACCCGGGCAGAACGAGGTCGATCACCTAGCTGAGTTGAATCTAATGGAAGAACGAAGAACCATGGCAGCTGTCAAGATGGCCGGTTACCACCAGTCAGTAAAGAGATATCATGACAACCGGGTGGGTCCACATTACTTCCAAGTGCATGATGAGGTCTTACGCAGGAGGGACGCTAGTAAGCCTAATGAGAGGGGCAAGCTAGTACGTAACTGGGAAGGACCTTATCGCATAAGGGCGATCATCAGGCCGGGCACTTACCAGCTGGAAACCATGGAAGGTGGACGAGTTGAACGGCATTGGAACTCTCATCATTTGAGAAAGTTTTTTAGATAAGTGTAATAAGATCCCGACTATGAATAAAGCTTTATCTTTTCAGAAAAGATTGTTCTTAATATCAACCGGAAGTAACTGGTCGTGCACTGAACTGACCGGCTAGCTGTTCAATCAAATTGGACGTCTCAAAAAAAAGAGAGAAATAGACCGGTCGAACCGATCATACATTTCGTCCGTACTGACACGGAGGTCTTACGACATAACTAAAGGGAGAGCATCCCGGTTAGTTATGTCGGACGATTGAAGAAAAAATAAAAGCTAACCTTTCCACAAGGGCAATAAGCCGTTGTGAAAGAAAGGCCGGCTTCATGAGCACCCGGGCAAAGGACTATCCTTTCGAAAAAGGATAAGACGAACTGCCATCGCGGGTCTATAAACCGACCGGGGGGAAGACTTGTCGAATCTATTCTCTCCCCGGTCGCCTAGTTAGTCTTTCGAAAGGACTTGGGTAGAACTGTACAGCGGGTCGGAATTGCAGCCGGGCTGTTTCTGGTTAAACTACACGGTAAAGATCTTAAAGTTGAAAGGAATTTATAACAAACATAAAGTAAAAAATAAAGAGTAAAGTACTCAGGCACTCAGCACACGATATGGAAGAAGGGACTTTCATTAATATTGAAGTTTTACAAAAAAGTGCCCAGAGGCAAATCATTACATATGGAAAATAAAAAAAAAGTAGGGAGCAGGCCGGCTTGAAGAGATCAGATTCCCGAGAATGGAGGGACAGGCGCCTCGTCATGTAGCTCGGGTAGAGAAAGGGCCTTGGGCTTGAAGCCTTCGATTCGCTGCTCAAGGATGCCATACAGCGCCCGTCGCTCGTCGTATTGGCCACTTTCAAAGCCAAAGGTCGCGATTTCATCAACGACCTTGGCTGATGGCTCATGCTTGTAGAGCCCTTGGACCAGCCGGATGGCAGCATCCCGATCAGCGATGTCCCGGCTAGCAAACTCCTCTGGTTCCTGAATCGCCCAGGCTGCTGCAAGAGAAGCCCGTTCGGCCCGCTCTTTCTCCCGTTCATCCCCAAGCCGGGCAATCTCTTCCGCCGATCGGGCGTTCTCGGCCTCCAGCTGCTGGATTTTCTCCTGAGCTTGCTCGTCGGCCTCTTTCGCGGCTTTGAGGAGACCATCATGCTTCGCATAGAGCTGGCAGTAGACCGCACAGTGCTCCAACAGCTTCTCCTCCGCCTTCGCCGCCTTCTCAAAAGCGGCCTTAGCTTCCTTCCGGCACTCGACCATCATGGCCTCCATTCGGGCCTTCTCCTCATCCCGGGACTTCACCAGCCGGGTGAACCACTCGTGGCCGATCCGGCCGACCTGCTTTAAATAGATGGAAACATTTCGGAATTTATGTTAGGAAGGTTGGAACTTAAATTACAAAAGGGAGTGGGGAAGGTTACCTCATTTAGGTCGGCGCGGAAAGCTTGAAAAAGCTCCTCGTCCGACCGGGACATCAGAGCCAGAGACCGGGGCTGGCTTTGCCCTTTGCCAGCGTCGGAGGACTGAGCTGCATGCTGGGCTGGTTGGTTCACTACCTCAGCCCTCCGCCTCTTCTGCTGGAGGGACTCCTTAGCGGCCTCTTCTTCACCGTGCCTTTCCTCGTTTGGCTGGCCACCCAGACCGGCCTCTGAGGCATGGCCGGTTTCCACCAGCATAGTATCAAACTCAAAGGTATCTACGTTGATGTAGAGTTCCCCAGAGTGGATTGGCTGGCTGGTCCCTTGGTGAGATTGGGTCGGCTACTCGTCCAGGGAGAATGGCTGAACGGATGGTTGGCTGAGGGGCTGGGCAGTCGAGGGCTTCTCAACGACGATTTTTGGGGTGGCAAATTTAGACTGGAACTTCACCACTGAAAAAGAACAAACCGGTTAGTAAAAAAGAGTTACAAAAAATTAGAATGAAAGAGTTGAGAAGGGTAGTGGGGCTGAACCTTTCTCCTTCTTCCCCGAGCGCGAGGGATCGGCAGCGGAGGTGACCGGGGCTTTGGACCCTCTCACCCGGCGGATTGGGATGGCATTAGGGATCGCCTCGGCCAAGACAATCTCCGGCTCGGGATCAGTCTCCCGGCCGGGATAGACGCTCCACTTCCCCACATTGTAAAGGCCACGGGTGGAGGCGTCCCCGGCCCGGAGAGTGGCTTCCCAAGCGACCAGGTCGTCGGTCTCCGCGGGTTTGACCTGACGCTTCATTCTCTTCCCCCAGACATTTTGGGCAAAACGAAAAGCTGCCGGGGGGAATTTGATAGACATTCCACTTTTTGTTAGAAGGAGGAAGGCCACAGAGAAATGCCCGGCCTTGGTGAGAAGACACAACCACGAATCCAAGGGTTTCCTTGGACCCGGGCCGGACATCGAACATGTGATCGAAGAGACGGAGGGAGAGAGGGATGCGAAGAAACCGGCAGACGTTGATGAAGCAATTGAGCATATGGTGACCATTTGGGGGCATCTGCCCGGGCATGGTCCCGTATGTCTCAAGGAAGAGGACTTTGAATGGGTGAATGGAGAATTCACCCAGGTCCTTGATGGAATGGTAATGAATACCAATCGACGTACCGGTATGGAGAGAAATAATATTCTTCCACGAAGCCCGGTAAGTCAATTGGTACCCATCAGGCATAAGGTTGCGCAGCTCGTGAACTTGGACTTTCTGCATGTACGACGGTTGTTCTTGGAGCAACCGGTCGTCCAGCTGAATGAAGCCCTCATCCCCAGGTTGGGCAACCGAGACCACTTGTGCCGCAGAAGAAGAAGGGGCACTAGTGGGGGCATCAACCGGCTGCTTCTGTGGAGAGGCAGCCGGGCGCTCAGAAGATGAAGAAGAGGAGGAACTAGAGGTCTGAGACCGGTTACCAGAACCGTAAGAGTGAACGGAAGGGTTCTGGCTGTCCTCATGGTCAGACATGACTCAAGAAAAAAGAGAGAAAGAAGCTTACTTGGAACAAGAGGACTCGGAGGACTCGTGAAATAGTAGAAGCAGTCGGGCAGATTTTTAGTTGGAGATTTGCAAGTGAGAAAATTCAAGGGGGAACCTCGCTTTATATAGGGGAGATGCCGCCCAGACCGACGAATGGCAGAATGACACGTGGCAGGTGAAATGATTCGCCATCATAACCTCTCGGGGAGACGAAACGGCACAACAAATCGACGGCTCCGTACCAGATTTCAAAAAAGATTCTCCCGCCTCTGGTAGCCGGGTTTTCAAAAATTCTAAATTCAAATATTTTTGAGTTGGCGCTGGTTTGCTGGGACGATTTTCCCACCAAAAATCGACTGGGCAGTTCGAATTTCAAAGGATGATCGTGTATGCTTCCCGCCCCTGATGGTTCCCACAGGACCGGGAATCGGAGGACTCCTTGATGGGTAATAACCCATTGATACCGCCCTGTCGGTCCGGTCGACTGGGTGGTAGCGAAAGTAACAAGGCGCGACCTCTTCATCCCGGGTTGTTTGACCGGTCTGGATGGGTAGGCCAGACGGCAGAGATACAGATTCTATTTTCCAGGTCTGCCTAGGGGACCGGTCAGGAGACTGGCCGGCTGGATAATTAGAGACGTGCTTGACGAGCTTAGGATTATTATAAATACCCCTAAAAGCCTCATTTGTGAGGCAGGCTTTAATTAATCCACACGGTCTGTATTGTTGTAATAGCTCTTATTATTGTTAATAACAAGCCGGGTTACAGGTGTATCCACCTACAACCCTTCCGATTATTTATACTTTGCATTTGCGTGGTAATTTACACCATCAGTAAGAACTATAAATTTTACCAATGAAATACAGTTAGTGCCTTGGATCATTTTTGACATTGATGATAACAAATGTCAAAAGATCTTGCATAAATGTAAACATAACTACTTGTTAACCGTCTCAAGTTAATTTATTCCTATTGTGATTGACTTCACAAATATTATAAAAAAAAAAAAGTTGATTAGTACTCACGAAGTTTGACTAAACTTTGAAATGTATGTGAGTTTGCACAAAATAGTACGCAGTACTAAAATATACTTCCTCCATCCCGTAAAATTTTTCATTTTTCCCATCTAGTTTGTCCCTTGAAACGTTTCAACTTGAGTTAAATGGACACAATTACATTAACTTTTCTTAAATCAAACTGAACATATTTGAACTATCTTCTACGCCCTATCTATTTTGGCATTTCCCAAGCCCTACTCTTTTCAATTATCGTCATTTTACCTTGGTCAAACTCTTACTGTTTCCTATTCCAAAAGTCAAAATAGGAAAAAGTTTTACGGGACGGAAGTTGTATACCTTTTTCTAAAGTAGTGCTTAAAATTTTTTATTTTCTAAATAGTACTTGAAAATGTTCCAGTGGCGTAGGGCGACTACTTGTTGAGCAATATGCAGTGGCGGAGGACATTTACTTAAACAATGTCAAGTGAATGTTGAACAGTGATACTACATTGAGAAATTAAAACATATGGTACCATATTAAAAAGCTTACTATGTTTTAGTACGATAAATTTCCCCAAAATGTATACATTAATGAAGTGAAGCTTAGAGGCATAAATATTTTAAAAACTTTATGTAAATTACAATTGACTTTTTAAAATGAGAACTCCCTAGATAGAAGTAAAAATCTATCAAAATACTAAAATAGGAGTCATAAATCTTTTAAGACTAAAATAGCAGTTCACACTGCCACACTCGCCGTATTGTCACCTTGTAACCGTCATAATATCACCGTCACACTGTCATCCGCCACCGGACACCAGAGTGCCGCAACAGATCACCGATGACTGACCAATCACACTGACATATTACATTTTCATCAATTTTTCATCACATAGCCAACGCGTCTGACACCACAATGTCATCATACTCATATTTTGGTCTTAAAAGACATATGACTCTTATTTTGGCATTTCTAAACTTTTTTACTCCTATCCAGTAAAATCAGGGCCGGCTCAAGCCAAGTGCAAAGAGGCCACTTCGACGGGGCCCAATTGTAGAGGGGGGCCCACTTTTTTCTTGTAAATTTTTTATATATTTATTTATTTATTATTAAATTATTTATATGATACTTTCCGTATAATTTTAATCACTTATTATTGTTTAAAATGTTTGGCTGTAATTATTTTCAATTCATTTTATTTTTGTAATTTGGTGTAGAATTAAAAAATAAAATTTGCAAATTTAAAAATTACATCAAAAGTACTAAATTTACCAATTTTACTCTCAAGAATGCTAGAAAAACTTCATGAATCCTTGGCTAGCTATTAAGGTATGTAAGATTTATAAGACTATAAATTTGACTTTTATTATTCTTATTGCTATTGTACAGTGTAATTTTTATTATTGTTAAAAATATAATTTCTAGATTCTATTTCATTATGATTTAATGACCTATATTCTGGGCGTTGTCCAGGGCCCTTAATTTTTCAAAGACAGCCCTGAGTAAAGTTTCTCCTTTTTAAAATGTGAGAGATTTTGGTGCTTGTTGTCCAGATGATAAGAGAGAGGGTACCCATTCACCCTAAAAGATTAATATGGAAGTACAAGAGCAAAGAGATACCTTGCATGAGAGAGAACAAAAGCTATGAGGGGCCTGAAGAATTCTGTCACATGTAAAACAATAATTGGCCGAGCCCTTGCAACTAGACCTCGACTGTGTCCTTTGATTTAAGAATATTACTTTGGCGCTGTTTATTGTGTATGGCTGCCAAAACATTATTATGTTATTATAAATACGTATGTAACCAGTTATATTTCATACGGAGTATAAATGTTGTACATGTACCTTATAATTAAAAGAACTTAAAATCATGGTATTATTGTATCCACCAATAACAAAAAATAATACAACCTTGGTTCTTAAGTATTTTTGTTCAATTTTTACTCTTTAAAGTAAAAAAAAACATTGTGGGTATATGTTCAATTTTTAGTTTTTACGATCAAACAAACTTTGACAATTGATTAAATACAATTGATATTACACCTAGATGCAAGAATAATTTTATTAGATTCATTTTATAAAAAGATTTTAAAAAATATTATTTTATTTAATTAATATATAATATAATTTTTATTTAATTATATATCAAATGTTTATGGTTGAGTGCAATATGGGGAACCATATTTTATGAGGAACTATGAATAGTTATGACTTATGAGGCGTTAGAAAAAAATTAGTACTCCATATTATGCTTCGGGCGTTTTTGGTGAGTAAGAGCCTGTTATTTAGGACTGAAAAAAAAAAGAGCTGGATGTTGGAAGAAACTGAAAAAAACTGGAAGAAATTGGAAAAAAATGAAAGAAACTGGAAAAACTGGAAGAAACTGGAAAGAACTGGAAGAAACTGGAAGAAACCGGAAAAAACTGGAACGAACTGGAAAAACTTCAAAAAATTAGAAAATCTAAAAAAACATTAAAAACATTTATTTTAAATTCTTGTTGTTATAAATTATTATTATTATTATTATTATTATTATTATTATTATTATTATTATTATTATTATTATTATTATTATTATTATTATTATCATCATCATCATCATCATCATCATCATCATCATCATCATCATCATAATCATCATCATTATTACGTTATCTTAATGAATGCCTTTAAGATACAAAAAAAGTATATTTATTTTTTAAATACAAAAAAATACTTTTGCAAAAAAAATAATTATAATATAAATTTAGCATAAATATAAAAATATTAAATTTTAAAAAGTCTTTGCGATTATATTGCACCTCAATTTATTTATGCAGTATTTATTATAAATAATATATTTGTAATTATACTTTATATATTACAAGATTTTATTTTAAATATCAGAAACGTCACATAATGTAATCAAACCTATTTTTAATTTTATGATTGACATTTTATTTTCATTGAAGCCCTATTTTTGGAATAAATACATAGAACTTTTTTTATAAATTTTTTATGTTCTACTTCTATTTTAGTCTTTTTCTCTAAACTATTTTGATTTACAATTTTTTTAAAAAAAAATTAGAAAAATGAGCAAGTTTTAAGTAATAAAGGGAAAGGTGAGAGGTCTTATATGAAGTTAGATTAATAAAACATTCAATGTCACTATTTTTTCCATAATTTTTTTAATATAATTTGACATATTGATGTTTTTTTGTTTTATCATGTAGACTAATATACAAAAAATTGTCTCATTCATATTAAGAAGTTGAAGAAAAAATAATGAGTGTGAATCGTAAAAACAGTGAGATGAAAAAAATAATTTATAAACCATAGTTATGAACATAACAGTTGTAATAATAATAATAATAATAATAATAATAATAATAATAATAATAATAATAATAATAATAATAATAATAATAATAATAATAATAATAATAATAATAATATAACAATAATAATAATAATAATCACATTAAAATATATCGTTTTTAGAGAAATTGGTTGAGGAGTAAAAAAATTGAAGAAAATGAGAATAGTTGGAAGAAACTGGAAGGAACTAGAAAGAACTGGAAGAAAGTGGAAAAAACTGGAAGAACTGAAAGAAATGGAAGAAACATGAATGAACTAGAAGAAACTGGAAGAAGTTGGAAAGAACTGGAAGAAACTGGAAAGAATTGGAAGAAATTGGAAGTTAAGAGTTTAAGCTCTAAAGAACAGGCTCTAAAAGAGATGAGTTTTGATATTTTTAACTACTCGGTATTAGAATCTTTTTTGGTATTTAATGAAGTCTATAGGAACAATGAATTTGATATCTGCAGATATAAAAAACTTTTCCTAACGTAGGGTTATGATACTTTCAAATTTGGAAGATATTAATATTGAGATTTGATATTTCTCTCAATCCTTGACCACAACCCACCACATGCTACTATTTTCATCGCCAACCACTTCAGTTGCTAGCCACCCTGTCTATCGTATTAGTTAAATTAATACTCCTAATTTCAAATCTTTTCAAAAAAAACTTCATTTTAGATTTAATAACTCATGTCATTTCCAAAATTTTAAAACCCATATCATATTATATTTTCAAAGCTCATCTAGTGGGTTATCCTACATACTACATACTAGAGATGAAAATGGACCGGGCCATATATACGTCCAAGTTTGATGACCATTTTTTTTAATGGGCCTCTACAAAAAACAAGGATCTCTATTCGAGTATTGAAAGAAAACAAGTGGGTTTAATAAATTCAAAATGCAGTAATCATCTTGAATTCATTACATCAAACATAAACTCAAAACATAATATATTCATATTTTCACTTCCTTTTACAATTTTTAATTCTAAAAATACATTAAGGACGAGGGAGGGAGTAAAAATGAAGTAAAGAGAAATAAGTAGAATGTACCTGAATGTAGGAGCAGTCAATGAGCTTCTCAAGGTCATCCAATCTAATGACATCTTGATAGACATACCTCCTTACCTGTCCCAATAAGGCACAACAGAATTCAAATTACAAATTACTCCATCCATCATAAAAGATTTTGATAATAAGATTTCCTAGAGCTAACCTTTTTCATTAAAAGTTTTTCATACCACCATAGTCGTTGGACTAAATTCTAACATTATTCCTTTTATTTATTACTTATTTTTATAAATATTAGATCAGATCAAATCATATCAGTTTTTTTTAAATATAATTGCAATCAGGTCATATCAAATCAAAATTTTATTGAATCAGATCAGAACTAATCAGATAAGTTGAAGAAAACAAGTCCTTGCTTACCAAATATAGATGAAAAATTATTTTTCTTTTCTTTATTGCATTTTCTCTTTCATTTAGGCTATGTTCTCTTCATCTGATTTGATTGGTTCTGATCAGATTAGAATAAGTTATGAGCTAGTCTGATCTGATCTGAATATAGTTATATTTAAATCTATTTCTGATCTTATTTGGTTTGATCAGATTTCAATAAAAATAAGTAATAATGAAAAAAATAAGTTCAGAAGAACATGACCTTAATCTTGTATTTTTGAAGGACCATTTAATCTTGTATTCTTGTTAATTAATGCATAATAAAGTACTCCCTCCATCCCCAATTTATTTATAATTTTTTTCTCTGTCCTCTCGATAACTTTTCTTTGTTTACGTAATTTCATTAAGTATTTGATAAAATAAAATATTTTTATCACCTCTTATTTTGTAGAACTTTTGACACAAATTTTATTTCTTATCAATATACTAACTTGTAAGTAAAATGATATGAAAAAGTAATAAATCCTAATTTGCAATCAAATTGGGGAGGGAGTATGTAAATAGAATAATGGGTGAGTAACTAATTAACCCCTTGAATGATTTGAGCATATATGCGACAAAAATATCAAATAAAAAACGTACACGCCTAATGTCCATTCATAATTTATACTGACAAAGTTACATGATAAGACTCGTGACTTCAATTTGAAAAGCATCTTACACTTTGGAAAGAAAATTGCCTAAAGTAGTTAGTCCCAATATTTCATTTTTATCCATAAAAAATAGACTAAATTTCCAAAATAATATGGAGTACTCAGTAAGGCTTCGTTCCATTCAACTTATTTTTTTTTTGCTTTTTTATTAATCTTATTAAAATCAGATCAGATCAGATTAGATCAGAACGAATCAGATCAGATCAGAACGAATCAGATCAAATCAGATCAGATCAGAACGAATCAGATCAAATCAGACTCAATCAGATCAGATCAGATTAGATCCGACCTGATCAGACCAGATCCAATCAAGAATTATTACTATTATTATTATTCTTAAAAATGAAAATAAACTTTGGAAACAAGTTAAATAGAAAATTGAAAAAGTAATCCTTATTTATTAGATGTCGAAAAAAATATTTTTAAAATACATTGACAATGTCAATCTAACTCTACTCTTAAAATACATTTTTACTGTCACTTGTAATTTGAGTCTCTAAAGTTTTGATCTTTACTACATCGAGCTGATCAACTTTGATCATGAATTGAATAAAATTAATATTTGATATTCATATACGTAGTATATTTTAGTGTAACTGAAATAACTATTATATCTATGGTGTTATATTAATAACTATTATATCTATGGTATATATATATATATATATATATATATATATATATATATATGTATATATATATATATATATATATATATATATATATATATATATATATAAAATTCTTGATGGGATCTGATTTTAATAAGTTTTGATCTGATCTGATTGGATCTGATCTGATCTGATTTGATCTGATCTGATTCGATCTGATCTGATCTGATCTTATTTTAATAAGAATAAGAAAAAATAAGAAAAAATAAGTTGAACGGAACGGGGCCTTAGTCTCCACCAACTAACGATCGTCAAAACAATATCAAAACGGCATTAAAACTTATACTAATTTTCTAAATTGATAATCTATAATTAGATGTTTTTCAAACTAGTCTATCCATGACATAAAAACTAATTTAATATAAAAATCGAAGCAGGATTCTTCTCTTTTAATTGATTTACGGTGTTTGAGCAAAGGTGCGAGACCATTTTTTATGAGTTTTGTTTTAAAAATTGACTAATTTTGAAGAGCATTCGATTAGAAATGATCATTTTTAAAATAAGCATTAATTTTAATGTCGTTTGGATGCCATTTTGATGGCGATTGGTCAGGAGACCTAACTGGACATTATTTTCAATTAACGAGTACTATCTACGTAATTAGTTTATCTTAGGGACTAATTTGGAAAAACACATAGTTATTGAGTACCATTTTGAGAATTTACTCTAAAAAATACTCTCTCTGTCCTAAAATATTCTTCCTATTTTTTGTTTACGAAATTTGACTGACTTAATTTCCAATCTAACTTATTTGATTGTAGGTTTAAGATTAAAAAAATAAAATTTAAATATTTAATAACTACATCAAATGTTATACAAGACAAGATGTGACAAGACTATATTATTTTATCAAATAACTAACAGAAATAGGTAAAGAAAGTGATTAAAGTTTGAATGTGTGAATATTAACTGGGAAGAACGTTTTATGACGCATGGGGTAATGTTGTTTTTAGTAGTGCCTCTGTCACAATTCAAATTGTCTGTTTCATTTTATAATAATTAACTAGAATTATTTTCAATGCAATTGATCAAAAAATTAGAGTAGAATTAAAAAAAATAAACTTTACATATTAAAATACTATATCAAAAGGTTCAAGAAACAAGATGAGATATGATTATATTATCTTATCAAATGAGTAACGAATATATGAAAATAAAGTAAACGAAACCTATCCTGTGAATAATAAAGAGACAATTTAATTTTTATTTGGATGAAAAGAGTAGATGAAGGTAGCACTGAGAAAGGATACCATTATCTATGCTATCTTCTAGCTTCCAGTGATTACGGCGGGGTTGGGGTGGGGGTGCAGGTGTGGGGATAGGGTGGGGG